TGAACAAACACTATTTTCTGAGGTTGTCATTGCTGAAGGAAGCAGAATTTCCAGAGAAATTGTGTGCACCCCTAGCAGTAGTCGTGATCGATGTGTGGTGCTAAGGCAACTCACAAGAAATAAAAAGGAGCTTTATCTATCACCCAGTGAAGGTGGCCATGCTGTCTTCCTGCTGTGAAGTCCTCTGACCATAGAATACAGAATTCCATTAACTTGTAATTTCTGCCACCTTCCTCCCCAAACACTGAAGTTTGGTTAGCAGTGAGCACATGAAAACGGAAAGCAGGGGTCCTGCTCACCCACAGGCTGCTAGCTGTAGCAAACCCAAGTCATCTACCTGCAATTAACCAGCCAGGGATATCATGGAGCAACGACACCCCGCGATGAACTACAAGTCCGCAAAGTGCCATTACGCTGTCACAAGGACAAACAGAAATTATTTTGCTTGCACCACTTATTCCTGATTTAGAGTGAGGGACATGAGAGGAGAAGTAGCCCCAATATAGGGACTTGACTGAACAGGCAGTCATCCCTCTTTGGCCTCCCATTCACCCCTGTTTCCTCAAAAAGGGGAAAACTTCAGAAAGGGTGTAGCCATGACCTTGAGTGCCTGTGAGTGCACCACCCTCTGGAGATGATTTGTAGAGCTGGGGGCTGCAGTCTTGGCTGGAGTATCTGGAGAGTGGAACTCTGTATTTCTAGGCAAAAGCCCTGTGGTTTTGGTCCCACTTCTTGCCCATAAGCATACTGGATATAATATGGTAGAATTTGGAACTGGTGGCATTTTATGTCCTTTCAGTACAGTCTGAGCAGCTGCAAGAAACATGTTGAATATTATAATGCAATTTATATTTAATTGGAAGTTTCAGTTCTTTGACCAGCCATTGTATCTTTAAAAGGGCATGTAGTAACATGCAGTTCCTCAGAACTTACAGTTCTGTAAGTGAAGTGAGGGCGCAAATCTACTCCTAGGTATTAGAAATGTAAGTTTGAAAGCCCCTAAATTAGTTACAAACACTCAAATGTAGTGTTCTCAAAAATATTTCTTTTTTAAAAAATATAGTTTATTAATTAATAGCATTAACCATTCATTATGGCTCTGATTCAGCAGAACACTTAAATATGTATGTAAGTTTGTATGCTTAAGTAATGGACTTGAAAATAATGCATGTATGTAAGTATTGTACTGAATTCCATCTGCTTTCAGAAAGGAGTTCCTTTACCCAAAGAGTAATTTCCATGCTGAGTTTTTTTCCGCGTGAATTCAGTGACCACTGTAACCAGAATAGCACAAAGTAGTACAAATAGCACTCGCGTACTCCCCTGTGGCATTTGTGTGTGGCTACTTACGTATCTGGCAATGGAGGAAAGCTTTCATTTTCAAATATAATTAAAATACAAAATATTTTGTGGACATGCTCAAAGATACATTCTAGCTCTTCCTGCCATTCACTTTATGAATTTCTGGCTGAAAATCTGTGTGTTATGTGGGGAGGTAGATTAAATAAGGGCATCTTTCTGACCTTAAAGCCAACAAAATTGCGCAAGTAATGCTGTAGGTTCAGACTGTGCCTCTTCACAGAATTTGGACCTCGAGGTTCAGATGACAAATTTTCAGTATCCTGCACAAACGGAGCAGAGCGCTGCCTGCTCTGTGTAACTGCAGACAGCATGGCTGGG